AGGCAAGCTACTATCTCATGATGCTTTGCAGGTTCAGATGGAGCTTAAAAAGTTACAATCGTGGGAGTTACCTAACTATTAATGTCTATTGCTGCAGACCTTGTCAGCTTAATGAGGTGCAGATGTACTAAACGCCGTTTAGATTTTTTGACTAAAGCTTCCAGAATTCCAGCTTGCCTAGTTCCCAACATAGTGCTCTACAGAGGTTTGCATTAAGACGCCCATAGTTCCCCCAAATTGCATCAGGCCTGTTCAAACACGAAAGAGGCATCAGGTTTCTTATCTGTGCCATAGAGCCTTATGCAGTATTACCAGCACTAGGCAACATGTGAAAGATCAGATGCCCAGTTACACCGATGGGTCCCTTGAAAAGGTTTGTTCCCCAGTTTCTCATTAAAGCTGCAGCCCTATTGCCTCCCATGGGCGGGACTGATGTTTGCGCAGCTACTCTACAACACCCATGTGGCTTAGCAACCTTGGGAATGACGCCCCCACACCGGGTAACAATACCTTGACCACACTTTGTGATGTCACTTTTTGTCAACTTTATAAAGTCTCCAGCAGAGACTTTAGGTAGAGTCATCATGTCCTCAACAGAGGAAAGCAGCTTGGCAACAACTCCTGAAAACCAAAAAGTGGAAAAGACAGAAGACCTTTCCTCCAACAAAACAACTGGGTGAGGAAGTCAAATCTATTTCACTAAAAACGGAAACCAGAGCAGTCAGTTCAGGACTGGTGATATATGATCTCTAAAGTACATCCCAGACAAGAGTTCTGGCTGCCAAGTTTTCTCCTAGCTCTAGCTTCCAGACACTTCCAAAAGGAAGACTCATGCAGATTGAATTACTGTAGTCCAGTGGTCAGGGAACAGGGGTAAATTACCCCAAATGGTGTAAAAATGAAAATCCTGGGGGTAATGAGGATGCAACTCTAACCCCTTCCCTCCTCCTCCTCCTCCTCCTCCTCCTCCTCTACTTCTTCTGCCCAGATGGGGGTCCCCGGCAGTCCGATTGCCCCCCTTTCCACCCCGCTTCTCGGGCCCAGCTGCAACCGAACCACAGCAGATGGTGGCCAGGACGGGCCCCGGCTGGCAGCGGATGGCAGCCAAGTGGCAGCTGGGCCGGCCATCGCGGAGGGAAAGGCCAGGGTGAGTGGCTGGAGCGCCCCAGCCCGGAGGAGCCTCTCCTTCCAGGGCCTGGAGAGGTGGATCGTGGCAGAGGGGGAAAGGCGCGGCCATGATGGCGGCATGGGCCAGGCTCAGCTTCCTGGCACTGGGCCGCCGCTCCATGCCCCATCCCCGGAGCAGCTTGTCGTGGCTCGCCCAGCCATGTGGCTTCCTTCAGCAGTGCCTCCATGCTTCGATGGGGGCAATGTTCGCATATATACATTTTTAGGGGGTAAAAGGCAAAAATGTTCCCTGACCCCTGCTGTAGTCTAACCTGAGAGGCAACATCCTAGCTCTAGCTTCCAGACACTTCCAAAGGGGAGACTCATGCAGATTGAATGACTGTAGTCTAACCTGAGAGGCAACGGAGGCAAGGATTGCAAGGAAAGATTGCAGTTGGTGCGTCAGAGAGGGGAGGGCAAAGAGAGTATTTTACAGAACAGCCCACTGACTCATTTGGCCCAGTGCAAGGTTCACTTGATAAAATTTGTGCTTTAGGAATTTCTAAAGTAAGTCTCCATAGTTGCCTTGGGTCTTTTTAAGGAGAAAGACAGGATTCTGTAAGCTTACTCCCAAGTGTACATGTACAGGACTTTAGTCTTTGTGCTGGACTGTGGCTGAAATGTCTGCAAAATGGGGTGTGCACTTTTATTTCCTCCCAAATTTATCACTGCAGTTGAAACATGATGACTCCCTATGGTCCCACATTTCTATCCAAATCCAGTCTGTTAGCTGCCTGAATACCAACTCAATTTCTTATTAATTTTGACTACAAATTTGCACACTTTGCATTATATCCCCCTCCGTACCTCTCTGGACTAGTCAAGGTCCTTTCTCCTGCCCCCATTGCAGGCTTAATTTAAACTCAACCCAGCAAGGTAACCATTAAATTACATACAAGCTTATTTTTTTTAAAATGAGCTGATATGTAGTTACAGCTGTTCTCCTTCTCTCCACATGAGATTTCAATAAACTTCTACAGTGAGCTTCCTTAATCTGAACAGAGTTTCATTCAGGGTAGATAACCTTAAAATTGGACTATAAAACCATTTAATTCACGATAATATGGCTACTCAGACAGTGCCAAAAGGTGAGAAACATGAGAGTTGTAAAGGAAATTACCTCTTCCTGCTACCCATTATCTAGCCTTGTTAATATTCTACCAAGAATTCCTTTTATTTTTTTAACCTTGTGGAATGCTAGACTACTGCTTAGAAACAGGATGAAACTGGTTGTTGAAGAAACTGCCCCCTTTCAGACTCGCACCTTAACCACAAGTTAACTTTTTCAATGATAGTTGCAAATAAAACTGTATACAATTTTGGAAAGACACACAGAGAAATTGTAACCTATTGTGAGAAATCCAGAAAGGTTAGATGATGATTATCTAATTAAAAAGCTATATCTCTGCATGTAGGTAAAGGTAAAGGTTCCCCTTGACAATTTTTGTCCAGTCGTGTTCGACTCTAGGGGGCGGTGCTCATCCCCGTTTCCAAGCCATAGAGCCAGCGTTTTATCCGAAGACAATCTTCTGTGGTCACATGGCCAGTGCGACTTAGACACGGAACGCTGTTACCTTCCCGCCGAGGTGGTCCCTATTTATCTACTCGCATTTGCATGCTTTCGAACCGCTAGGTTGGCAGGAGCTGGGACAAGTGACGGGCGCTCACTCCATCGCGTGGATTTGATCTTACGACTGCTTGGTCTTCCGACCCTGCAGCACAGGCTTCTGCAGTTTAGCCCACAGCGCCACCACGTCCCTGGCTCTCTGCATGTAACACTGTAGGAAATGATGTCTCTTTCAAATTACTTCCACTCTCTCAAAGAACCAGAGAAAGTCATGCTTAGACCAGAGTACAGAAATAAAAAAAAGATTTATGTTACTTTTATTAATTTGTCTCATTGATTACAATGGATCTATTCTGACTAAATGTAGATTCAGTCTATGAGATTTATTGAGCATGATGAACATTTGATAAAGAGGCAACATGAGTGTCATCTTCAACTATCTGAAAGGCTGTCACAGAAATAATGGAGCAAATTTGCTGTGGTGATCCAGAGCCTAAGGTTTTCCAACAGAAGTTAGATGATCAGGTATCTAGGATGTTATAATGGGCACTTCCTGTATCAGCAGGGAGTAGGAATAGATGACTTTGGACTTTCAACTCTATGATTCTGAGCAAACAGTTAAGCTACCCTGGTTGATTATGGTATATGTTTTCCAAACACCAAGTGGACAGAATAAACTTACAAGAATCTGTAGCTGGTGTGTGTCTGTGCAGGCCAAGACCAGACTGTTCACTCACTCACAGTGCAGAAATGCAGCTAAAGTTATAGTCTGTCTCAGAGGAAGCGGCTTACTGAAGAATTCGCTCATTTGGCAGCTCCTCTTTCCAGTCAGAAAACAGGCTCTGGTAGGGGACTGAGGCTGCAACTACACTGGCAAATAGTACTGATTTTTCTGCAGAAGCAGAATGCATGAAGTCAAACTTTTAAAAGCTGATCACATGATACAAAGCCCAATGCAAATCAGTCCAACCCTTATTGTTTCAGATGCAGAGTTTTTTCCCCTGCTGCTAGGAGCTTCCACTTTTTCAAAGCTGGAGAAATTCAAATACTGTAGTTTTTCCCCCAGTGATCAGTTGTTCCATTCTCAAAAAGGAGAGGAAAGGGTGTGACTGTGGATGCTATTCTGGTGACATACTAAGGCACAATGTTTTGGGTAGCAGAAACATTCAACCCCACCATCTTTCTCCCTAGTTGCCCCAAAGTATTTTTTTAATCGCTGCATTGAAATATTAGCATAGCACCAGATCATCTCTGCACAGACCAGAGAGAGAGAGAGAGAGAAATCAATTATGAAATAGAAACAACTCTGATGAACTACAGCAGACTACTATGTTTCCATGACAGCAGAAGGCAGAGGCTGGCTTTCCAGAGGAGCCACTTCCTTCATTCAGTGCTGGGCTCTGATGGATCTTTGTTGCCAAGGCTGTATAGGAAGGGTCACCAGAAGAGCTGGTGACCCCTTTTCTGATTACCCTCTCCTAGAGACTCCCTGAAAAAACTGCAGGAAGAGGCAGCTTGAACTGCCTGCAGCTTTTGTGACTGGGTGGACTAGCTGGCCGAGAACAGATACAGCAGCAAGGTGGCGAGTGTCAGCAGCTGCATGGCAAATTTGCTTCCCTTGGAAGCCTGCTGTTGCGAGAGATGGACACGACTTAACAACTAAACAACAACAACATGCAGTCAAAGGCAATAGTATTCTGATTATGTAATTTTGAAATAAGTCATCTCTCACTCCATAGTCTGTGAAACACTGCTGAGGTGCCTCATTGTTGCTAATACTATTCTTACTTCTTTGTGCTGGGAAGCCTTAGAATTGCCCTACAGTAATTCTTCGGGAATTCTATAAAAATAAAGGAGAAATTTCAGAGAAAAGGCACTAGAGCTCATTTAAAACCAAAGCATTTAAGGCTGAAAATACACAAACGTATGTCTTCAAGAACTCTTATTTCAATACCTCATATCTCAGTAGAAAGCAAGTTGTGGATCAACACTAGATAAATCAGAGACGTGTGAATTTATTGCATATTCTGTCTCATGAGAATTTATTGTTTATTCTGTCTAGACAAAAGTCTGGCTTTACAGAGAAAGAACAAAGACAAAATGCCACTGTAAGTAATCAGTAGCACACAGTATTCTGAAATTTAGCTCTGGATGCTATTGATATAATTCTATTTCTATTTCTTATTTTTTAAATGATGTTAAATACTTACGGAAGAGCATTCGGAAGGACTGCACGATAAATGCAACCAATGCGAAGACAAACATGGAACCCATGAAATAAATCTGGAACAAATTCATAAATCTAAATTAGTCAGGGGCAAAGATGCCAGATACCTCTTTAGAGAACAATGGATTAATACACACCAGGCCAGAATGCAATACATCCTGCCAGAAGATCCTCAGGTGAAGATAAAGCAATCCTAGCGTGCACGGGCTAATTGATTCTTGGTTGCTATGATTCCAGCACCTGGGAACAAGAATAAAAAGACACTGATTATACCAATATACAAGCTGATTCTCAATGATCTGAGACACTGTGCATTGGCCAACAGCAAAGACATCAAGAGCAGAAAGTAAGCCTCATCTCTACGCAGAGTCTATGTTATCTCTCTTTTCATACTGCTATCCTGCGGCCAAGACCTGGGAGGAAGGCAAGTTGGAGAAGCCATTCTACTCTCATGGAATCTTTCTAATCCACACGTTTTTCTTCTGCTTCACACTGAATATTACATACTTTGGAAATATCTACATTTATCAGTGAACATATAAATTGTAATTAGATGCAGTCAGGTTGATTCCAACTTAGGGTGACCATTTCCAGAGTTTTCTAGTAGAGGGTACTCAGAAGTGATCTGGGGCACATTGGGACTGTGCAGTTTGCCCAAGGCTACATAGGCATTTGTCTCGTGGGAGGTGCAGTAGGGAATCAAACTCCCAACCTCTGGCTCTGCAACCACTCAGTCAGTGCCTATCAACCCATCTCCACTTGCCTGGAAACTGGACCTAGTGATCTCTGACTTTTTCAGATCTCCTTAAGATGTTGCTTGTGGGTGTGAGAGAGAAGGCTTTGCTTCCTCCCAAGTAATGTAACCCTTTTTTACAGGACAGGAGATATGGGGCATTGAAAGGGACAGGGACTGTGGTGAGGGGAGGACAGAAACAGCCAGGTCGAATGAATAAGGTAACTGGGAAATAGATGGAGAAAGACAGGTGGGCTGGGGGAAAGTAATTTGGGAGGGTGGAGAGAGCACATTTGCACTGGGTGAACAAGTGGAGAGGTGAAGAAAATAGGGTTGGGGACTTCATGGCAATTGTGGTGTGTGTGTGTAAGAGAGAGGGGACAGGATAAGGCATGTAAGAGCAGCAGTGGAGGGGTCTGGCCAGGATAATTAAAGACTAGTGAAGTACTGGACTCCTTTCTCCAATTTTCCAATGAATTAAAAATTAGAAAAGCAGTTATTCTTATCTGAATGAATCAGGCGGTATGGTTGAATCATGAACATGGAATGCTACTGTTGATAACAAATGCAAGGTGCAATTAGAAACTACAAGAGAGGATCAAATGCAAAGGTCAGACTGGTTGTTGTTACAGCCCATTTCTTTGGTTACTAATTGGCTTGAGCTCCCATCATCAACTTTATTGGCAGAAACAGTAGTAAATTAGGGGCATAAAGGAAGCTAAATTGCACTGGGAAAGCCAGCGTTTCCCTAAAGGCATCCAGTTGCTGGCAAGGGTAATCCCTCCCTTCTCCCACCCTATTTTTATCTCTCTCCCTTCTTATACTCTCACCCATACCATCAGTCTCACTGCACCTTCTCCCTGTGATTGCTATTCACCCAGTTTTCTCTCTGCACCTCATTCCTACCAGTTCTATGCAGCATGCATGGCTCTTTGCACTCTTTCCCCACTATTCCTACCCACCTGACCCAGCTTTTTGCACTTTCCCCCAGTCTCCTTCCACTCTTCTCTTCTTTCAGAACCCATCCCCTCTCATTTAGAAAGGCCAGGAGCCCTTCTGCCTTGGGGTCTTCAGGTGCAGCTCCGGCATACTTCCTCCCCAACAGCTCAGTGCTAGACGGGGTGGGCTGGAGTGAGGAATCACACTCAGGCCACTGTCACACTAGATTGTTTTCTCATGTCTTCTGCTTTCTGTAGAGTGATGTGTTGTGCTCATGTGACATACAGTATATCCTGTGATAGTGGTTCATACGTTCTTAACCATTCTGTATTTTTTTTTTTGTTAAATTAGATGCGCTAAGTTTGTCTACACCCCTGCAGCAGGGCATATCCCTTCCTCTTTTTGTGCATTTCTCTGCCCCCCTTCCCCCTTTTAAAAATGTGTGGGTACATCAATGTGTTGGCAAAACGCCCTTGTTGGCCACCTACTGACCATGGGCATTTTTTCCTGTTTCTGTGCTGCATTACCCTCAATGGTGGAGAACCCATAGCCCATTTGACAGAAACATGCCAACACGACAACATTCCTGTAAAAAAATTTTGTTTAGAAAATTGAGGGAGATGAATGACAGCTAGTGGTGGTGGTGGGACTGCACACCAGATGTTAAGGAAATGAATTGGTTTTGTAGTACACAATCTATGGAATGTCAGTTGTAGTGCGCAATGAAGCATGGAGCAAATATAACAGTAGCCTCCCTGAGGGCTGGATTTGATGTGGAGATAATACGGAGGGAGAACAAAAGAATTGGTAATGTCCGTGCATTGTCTGAACCCTCTCCCCAGGATTGAAACTCACAGGGTGTAACACAGAAACATTTGGCTAGTGTGACCATAGCCTCAGCCAGAAAAGATCAGCATAGCTGGGGTCTTTCATAGCTTGTGGTAACACTTAACTAAATGTTGCATTCAAGAAGAACCCTTTTCAGATTTTTCAAACCTTTCACATACTCAAAATCTTCCCAATATTTTCTCTTCCATGTCATGTCAGTATTACTCTACAAATCAAAATTCAAACACCCTGTTTAAGACAAGCACATTTCTATTCCCCACCATGAGGTTCTAATGCACCCTAAGCTCAGAACTCACTGGGTGACTCTGGATAAGTCACTCTCTTCCTCTCCGTCTCATTTTCATGAGCAAAATTTGCAGATGCCTGCATGGTGAGAGATGATGGAGTTCATCAAAATGTGGAGGCCTTGAACTCCTGCTCTGTCACAGATTACAGAGAATCAGGAACTCATGTGAGGGTTCATATGGCATCCACTTCAGCCTTGTTACTGACCTTGCTGAGAACACTTCTTAACTAGCTGAGCTAACACAACAGAAACATGTTTGGAACATGGGCTTGTTACTAAGGTCAGGTTTTCACTCAGCTAAACAAAGGTCTTTTCAAAATTATGCTCTGATTCAGCACCATGACTGCAGGCAGCCAAAACCAGTACCTTGTCCTATACTCGCCCCCCCTTTTTTTTCTTTTTTGGAAAAACAGAAATCAAGGGCATTTTGATCAGCAGTGAATTATTTGAACAGGCTAATTAAGACCCCTTAGAAGTCTCTCTGATTTTGGTAATAAAACACTGGTGAATTTGTATGTTTTTGTTTTGCTTCAATTTAGTTTGCCCCTTAAAATTATTATCATTATTAAAGTATGAGTCATACCTGTGCTTTAATTAGTGGAATATTAGAAAAAAAGATTAATATTTTTCTGCTGATATACTCAGCAATCAAAAAGGAAAACAAACAGGTACAATATCCTTAAGGATAGCAGAACTGCTATAACTCAGCTTCCATGAACCTATGGCAGATTACAGCCCCCATCATCTACACCCATGGTATGCTGGGGATGATGGGAGTTGTATTCCAACACATCTTGAGGGTGCTGGATTAGTAATTACTGCAGTGGTATACCTAGGGGCCAGAGGTAGAGGTAAACAGTGGGCTTCTGTACACTTTCCATTTTGATCCTTGGGTCAACTCTCTTTCTACCAAGCCCTTTGGGCTCAAGCTACAGGTAGCCAGATTTTGGCTGAATATCAAGAAAAACATCTTAACTGTTAGAGCAATATGACAATTACCTTAGGAGCTGGTGAGCGCTCCAACGCTGGAGGCATTCAAGAGAAAGTTGGACAACCATCTGCCAGATCTGCTTTGATTTGTATTCCTTCATTGAGCAGAGGGTTGGACTCGATGGCCTTAGAGGCCCGTTCCAACTCCATGATTCTATGATTCTATGGTCTCCTCTCTTTTAAAGATCTGCTTCTGTCTCTCTGCATTAAACTAGTTGGGGAAGACCAAGAGCGTCAGTCTAATGACAGGGGCTGAAGGAACAGGACTGGCTCAAGCCCTACACTGTGTTCTTGTGGCCCAAGAAAGATTCTGTGTTCAGGCTGACCCACAAAACCCACTGCACAGCATTCTGAGGGGATAAAGGGAAAAGAAAGAGGAGTGTGAGTGTGTTTAGAATGCATGTGGATGAATGAGCTGAATGGATGAGAAAAATTAGAAAAGAGACTGGGTTTTGCTGAAAAGTTTCTTTGAAATAAAATAGTACCATACAGTTCTGGAAGATCTTTTTCTCCCAGAGCTTCAACAAACAGGGCTGGAACAACATGCTTTAGTTCTTTGTGAGTCAATATAGATATTATTTGTGTTCCTTACAGTTTCACACCACATTTAATCTGGTTGATGAAAGGTTCAAAATAAACAGGATTATTCAGTTCTAAACTCTTTGCACCAAATGAAAAAAAAAAAACATAACATCCTCTGAATGCTATAACTATTTGGCAAAAAAGAGGGAAAAAAGCATTGATAAAGAAGAACAATGAAAGCTCACCTTTCATAAAGCTCATGGCGAAGAGTTGTATTACTGGCATAGATGGCCCTGTCAATTTCTAAATGATCTAAGATGCGACTGGGGATGGAATAGCCTTCTTCCAGAAGAAGGGCCAAATTAAAGAATCCCTATAACATAATAGATTAATTAGTGAATTGTACTGATAGAACTTCTTGCTTTAAAGTTAAAGATCTTAATAACAGGCCTTCACAACATTTCTATTGGTTGCATTTCGCACATGAAGATTAAAGAGAGATTGTGCGGCTTGTGCTGTGCGCATGTTTGATGCAGTGCACCCCACTGGTACAGTATCCCATTCTTAATTAATAAACGGAAGTATAGCCTTGCCAAGGCATTACTGTTTTTCTATTTTTTTCAAGGCAGATGTGGAAAAGTTTTTTTCTTGATGAGGTCTATTTTATTTCTGACAAAATGTGTCAGCAACCACCACATTCCAGTAGCTGGTGTTGTCTAGCACCCGAGGCGGGTGGGAGAAGTCACAGTTATAATTTTTTTTCAGTGCATAACTTTTTAAAAAGTTACTGGAATCAAGATACTCTCACTCCATCAGTGTTGCATCCAGAGGATAGAACAGACAAGGCAAATCATATTAATAACTTGGGGAAAGGCAAGTTTTGGGGAAATAAGCATAACCTGGTGAGACAAAGAGAGCAGTCAGAGAGCATGTAGCTTGCTATTTGATGTGCTTCAATTTGCCCTGTTTTCCAATGACCATCTTTGTTTTAAATAAGAGCGATCCATCCCATCCTTTTTGTGAGCTGTTCCACTCCTCTATTTTACTCTTCTCAGAATTTTTAAAAAAAATATTCTCCTAAGTTATTCAGCACTATTTCAGATATAAGGAAGTATCCACGTTAGTTTATTATATTACTGTAACATTATGCCACTTATTAAATTAAACAAAAAAAGGGGGAAACCACTGCAGCCCATGGAAGGACAGCTGTGACAAAAGGCAGGAAAAGGGGTGAGTGTGCTAATAACCAAAAGCAGGGGAAATTGGAGCAATCCGAAGTGCTATTTGGAACCTTCACAGAAGAAGGTCTCCTCTGCAAATGGAAGAACTGCAAACGAGAGATACAATACAGTGGTGCCTCGCTTAACGACAATAATCCGTTCCAGGAAAATCGCCGTTGAGCGAAAACATCGTAAAGCGAAATAAAAAACGCCATTGAAATGCACTGAAACCCTTTCAATGCATTTCAATGGGGTAAAACCGTCCAGCGAAGATCCTCCATACGGCGGCCATTTTCACTGCCTGTATAGCAAGGAATCCGTCCCTAAACACAGCGGGGAGCAATTTTATTTACCTGGCGGCCATTCGTCATTTTGCGAAGAATCAGTTCCCGAAGCAGGGAATCGATTATCGCAAAGCGAAATTCCCCCATTCAGACCATCATTTTGCGATTGCAATTGCGATCACAAAAAGATTGTTGTTAAGCGGATTCGTCGTAATGCAGGGCAATTGTAAAGCGAGGCACCACTGTAGATCACACCAAATGTAAGAGCCATTTAAACATGTCCTGGAATGCTCCAGACTTGCCCATCTAGTCATGCCCTGAGATGACTAGATGTTCATGTGCCCAAGTTCCCGACCAATGCTTTAAAAGGGAACAATACACACTCGTATTTTGAGGATATGCGCTATGTAAACCTCAAATAGCACACACACACACACACACACACACAAACAAGGGGCAGGAATGAAAAAGTAGCACTTCATTGCTCTGTGAGGTTGAAGGAACAATGTGAGCCTCTGACATAGTTTTTAAAGGTCTCCACTTTAAAGGTCTCCATATGTGGGTTGCACATTTTTCAAAAACCAAAATATTATGACCCCTATTTTGTAAAATGAGCTGGACAATGTGTTAGAGCGCAAGTGCTGAAGAAAATAAGTGGTACAGAGCTAGATATGAAGAATCCATCTTTGTTGACAAAGTTGAATCTTGCCGGCAGAGGTGGCCAGCCTGATTAACACCCGCCGCCAGAACCCGCTGGACCACTTACCGCACATGTGGCCAGCATCATCGACAGCCCTCCAGCTGCTCCAGTAGCCTGGCTAGCACAGCCCTGTCTTCCTGCTTGGCTGGCCATTCCAGCAAGAGGGCAGGATGACAAGTCAGCTGTTGAGTGGCCAGTTGAGGAGGGAGGTGGGGCTGCACCAGTTGGTCTACTGCCACAATTGGCATGCTGTCGATGATGCCAGCCATGTGCACCATGTGATAAGTGGTCCAGTGGGTTCTGGGAGCAGGTGTTAATTGGGTTTGCCACCTGTGCCAGTGTGATTTATCTTTGTTGATGAAAATGAATCCCCCATGTCTCATACAGACAAAGGTGCATAAGGCCTCAGCACTGAGCCAGACGACCAGAAACTCTCCAAGACAGAGACTTTCAGAGACTCAATCCAGCTAGCACTTGGGATCTGGCATCTTCATGCCCCAAGAACTCCATTCTCCACAAAGTCTCCTTGCTAGCACAAGCAACACAATAAAGAGGCATAATAAGTGATGCAGTGAAAGCCCTCAGGGCTGATGGATTAGGGTTGTGGCAAAAGGTTAATATCCTTTCCTGTCAAACTATTTTCCTAAGTCCAGTGTCATCAAAATTGCACTAGCTAGTTAATTAAAAAAATAAACTATTCAAGAGCAAGGTACATGTCGACTATCACATGCCCACATGCCCAGAGAAATAAATGTGCATAATCTTAGTAATTTAAGTGTCCTTAGATGGCCACTATGTAGATGTATCTAATGGTTTATTCTGGGATACAAAAGCAGCCACAAATACATCAGTCTCACTGCCTCTTATGGGTACCATCTTACAAGCCCTGTAGATGATTCGGGTCATACTAAATGTACTAAAAATTGCAATATCACTTTGCAGCTCTTGAAAAGCCTCAAGACATCCACAGGCTTTATGCTGCATATCAGGACATAACCTACCTGGGCCTCTCCATTTAAGGCTGCTTGTGCATACATCTGCATTGACATTTCCAGATTTCTGGACTGGTTCTCATATCCATAGTAATAGAAGTCTCCCACTTTCAAAAAAGCTAGGGAAAGAAGCAATGACATTAAAGACTATGAAAAAAAAATAGTTCCCTTCATAGTCAACTCATGGAATAGACACCAGCGTTCTCAGTTTCTCAAAGAATTAATTTTTCCACCCACTCACCACTCAAAAGGCATCATTTTGCATCACCAAAGAGCATAATTCCACAATAATACTTCACAGATCTGTATACATACCAAATGTGGGAGTGTTGCTTTGAAAAACTGATAAATTATAGTATCTCCAAACACAGTCAGTAGCCAAGTATCTTTTTGCCAGATTCTGGAGAGAATGGGAAAAGAATAGCTTAGTATGTTTGTTCTACAGGCAAAATATTTAATGATTTCAAATGAAAAAAGAGCATTCACCTCTACCAGCCTGCCCATGTCATAAACATAACTTGCCTGCTGCCAAGAGCAGTTAAATTGATTAGACAGCCTCACATTTTCAGGAAACATGTAGCTGTTTCCTTCTTTCAGACCTTCAGGAAAGTTCTGAAGACCCCCTGTGGCGTTTACCCTTGTGCCCCTTGCTTGACCATCAAGACTCAGAGCACATGAAGGCAAATAATCCCCTCTTTTACCTTGCTGCCACCAGGTGATCACTAAATCACCATTACTTCAGGAAGATGAAGATTCAGGTCCACATTTCAAAGTCTTTTAAATACAATTGTTGTTTATTGATTACAGAAACTGATAGTGATTCATGAATATCTTCTTTAGGTAAATTTATTATTAACATCAACCTTCTATTTGATAATACACTCCTAACTCTCAGATTTCCCCAAACTCCCCACTCTATCTCCTTCTCCACTCTCTCACGCTAATCATACTCTCTGACTGACTGACTCCTGGCCTCTGATTGACTTTAATATCTCAGGTTCCGCCTCTTATCACATCTCTCTCGGCTCCGCCTCTCAGCAACATTTAACATAACAAACATGAACCATTGTCATAATAAAGGGGAATGCTACACCCTGTTTGTTTGCATAAGCATTAAAAAAACCAGTGCCTTGGTTTTATTTGCATCTGCTGGTTTTATGGGGTTTTACTGTTTTGTAGCACACATATGCAGCTTCAGGAAGTTCCATCTCTAAAGGCAGCTTAAAACTTTATTTAAACTGGGCTTTCAACATTAGATGGATAGACTTACTGGCCTCTCTTCACAGAGGTGTGCTAGATTTGTCTGTGACACCTCAATTCCAGTTTCTGCAGACAGTATGTAATACAGGAAAGCTTCATGCCTAAAGTTAGAAAATGGAGTGAGAATAATATGGGGAAAGAAATAAAACAGAACAAGAAAGCATCAGAAATTGTTCCAAATCCTGAACTTCTCTGGGAGCTTCTCGGGTTATCTCAATACGAGGATCAGTAGCAATTCACATATTTCTCTGAAAATTGCCTTGTTCTTTGTTACTGCTATCCCTAAAGTGGATAATTGCAGAGGGTATATTTTTGAACCCAATCTCTACTCAGGCATAGCAGCAATGAGGCTCCACGTGATCAGTGTGCCCATCTTAAAATATCTCTCAGAATCGTATACAGAATACAGGAGTTCCTGGGAAGATGGACATGCAGATAACAATCCATGAATATGAAAAGTTGGAAATGAACTAGTTTAAATAGTCGTAGTCCCAACAGGACAGAGCAGTGGCATGACCAAAGAAAACTCATGCAGAATCAATATAGACTGGGAGAGGAAACCTTTTTATGACATAGTTTGGAGGAGAAGATGAACACCCACCCCAAGCAATGATAAATGCACTATGTGCTGTTTAATTTTGGTTTTGGAGCCCTACTGAAGAGAGAACAAATAGCTGCTGAGTTGTTTCAGGAAAGAAGGTAGAAAACAGAATGAATAAGGATTCAGTTCTTCTCTCCTAACATCCCTATCTGCCTATCCCTACCCTCAAATTCCTTTAAAACTGGTGATTTCCTGATTCTGTTACTGGGTTTTTTGGATGCTGTTGTTTGTTCTGGACTACACATCCTGGAATTACACCCAAGTAAGTCCTGGGAGTTGCAGCCCGAGAAAATGTTCTAGACAATGATAAATTCCCTAACTACTATGTCATTAAAAACAAAGCAAAACAAAACAAAACTAGGATTGGGACCATGCTGGGTATATGGTTTTTAAAGGTTCCTAAGACTTTGCTAAATTACAAGCTGCTGTAAGCTCCAGGGCAGAAGCTTCCATTAGTGCTTTCTGCTGATGCTAAAAAGTTTGTGGTTTTGCTTAGAAAGAAAGAATGAATAGGTCTTCAAAGCAACAGCTACATCTACAGGACAGATTTTAAATAAAAGAACCAACATTAGCTGAAAGCAAGAGTGGGCAATACCATTGTTAGACCACTAACAAATCACATATATAAGCAAGTTTTGGACCCCATTTGGGTCTTCATCAGGCTGAGCACCAAAGAGCTGTGGGTGTTACAGAAAAAACAAATTTGTTTTGAGTAACAGAGCTAAGAATTGCCCCAATCAATAATGGGTTTAAATCAGCTGTTATCCAACACTAGTTTAGACAACAGAGTTCCCATTTCATATTTCTATTTCCTCTTGCTCTCATCTGTTAGAAAAGTGAGGCTCTGGGAAACACAGCATTATTTCATCGCATACACAAAAAATGACATTCAGTTACAGAAACCTACCATGACAAATCCAGATAAGCATTTAATGCTTTTCGGATGGTGTGGCCTAAATAGCCATTCTTTTCTGCCACATATTTTGCCCAGCTGTAAATCAAAACAGTAGCATTAAAACTGGAGACCTGCAGCTAACATTATGAATGTTGACAGTCTGCCACCATTAGTGAACCATGGGAGAATCTCCTCCTTCCCATCAGGTTGTCCCTCTCACTTTTCCTGCCCTCTAGCTTCTCACCCAGATCTGCAAGCATTCACACTTTGGCAGCAGCCTTCATATTATGATGAAAAGGATGGACAGCCTTCACTTCTACTCAAAGGCAGTTTGGCTTTGGCACTTCACAGCAGTGCCCAGTCACTGGGAAGTCTTGTTAATGCCATTTCATTTCTCCTTCCTCCCCATCCCCATATGAAAGGAGAAGACCTGTATGACCTAGGGACATTGTGAAGGAGATGCCATCTCATATATTTTTGGAGGAGATGATGGAGGAAGAAGGATAGAGCTCTTCCCAGCAACATAAGAAGTGGGAAGTGGGGTAGCCTTTCCCTCCCTCCCCCAGAACCATATAATTCAAGCTTCACAAATGAAAATCCTCTGATGAAGAAAGATAAGTAGGGAACATAAAGAAGCATAGATTATGTATATCAAAGCACAATATTTTGTTACACTCACAATAATCCCTGCTTTAAGAAATTAGATTTTTGCTCTCCATAACATAAGCATGACTTACATTACTGCTTTCTCAGGGTCTCTGGAAAAGTTTGCTAAATTTCCTGTGATATAATATTGAGAACACCGTAATGTCCCTTCCATGTGGCCTTTTTCCGCTGCTTTATAGAAATAGTTGGCAGCGACAGTCTGGGGGAAAAAAAAACATTACAAAATATTGCAACAAAGGACATTGCTACAGTTCATGTTCACTAACTGACTTACCCATGCCTGCCTTCTACATCTAAGAAGCTAGACAGCAAAATATTGTTTAATACTTAATCTGTGCTACAGTATAGCCAGAAATAAAGTAAATCCATTTGTGATAATTGTCCACAAGTTGCTGCCTCATCTGAGACTAGAAATCAGGAGATTTTAAGATAACTAAAGCTATCAACCACTTCTCACAATGAATACACACACACACACACACACTCCATAATCACTACTGCCAAGACAGATTTTGCAGAGTTCTTCAGCCATTCAAAACCTTGCAAAATCTGTGGGATCCGGATGAAAGTGAAAGTGTCCCTTCTTCAAACTGCTTAAATTTTTTGAAAACATTATTGCCTGTCTCTAGCCTTAAAGTCTCTCCTTATATGAAAACTGGCCATTCAACAGGGATCCCAGTTACCACACTGGTCTCTTTCTCCTAGCCTGAATGTTATCTCGAGCATGACAGCTATTGCTGGAGATTCTCTCTGACCCAATAGAGCTTTGACAAAAGAAGCTAGCAAATCTGAAAATATGGAACTGGGTGTTTTCAAGAGTTGTGCCCAGGTTGTTCGACTCTCTACTTGGAATGGGGGCTGCTCCCTTGCCTTCCCTTGCAGTTTCTGCATGTTACTAAATTATTCTGGCTCCCTTTGTTTCCCCTTCTGCCATTTTATTATTTGGCCTTTTGTTATTAGCTTAGTTTTATGGCCTGCATCTTGTTCCAACACATGCAGTGAATTGCTTGTGGAGCAGAACTAAAATAATGTATAAAAGTAAAGGTTCCCCTTGACATTTAGTCTAGTTGTGTCCAACTCTAGGGTGCGGTGCTCATCCCCATTTCCAAGCTGTAGAGCCAGCGTTTGTCCGTAGACAGTTTCTGTGGTCACGTGGCCAATGCGACTAGACATGGAACGCCGTTACCTTCCCACCGAGGTGGTACCTATTTATCTACTCGCATTTACAGTACATGCTTTCTAACTGCTAGGTTGGCAGGCGCTGGGACAAGTGAGGGGAGCTTACTCCGTCGCATGGATTCAATCTTACAACTGCTGGTCTTCTGATTTTGCAGCACAGAGGCTTCTACAGTTTGACCCGCAGTGCCACCATGTCCCCATGAAAAGAATGTATACTCAAATATAAATAAAGCTTTATACTTACATTATTTCTAGCAGTTAGTCCTGGATAAACTCCATCTAAATACAGGACACCAAGATTGAAGGATGCTTCAGGGCTGCCCATAGCTTCAGCTTCTAGCCAGTATTTGGCTGCTTTTGCATAGTCTTTTTTAAAGTTATGATAATACCAGCCCAGACCATTTACTGCCTGAGGAAGTCCCTGTAGATAAAAGGTGAGCAAAAGGGTATTCTTAAGAATGTGGAGAGTGTTGCAGGTCCACACTGTTCTTGACTGTACAAACCAAGAGTTCACAGAGAAGTATAAGTCCAAGCCACAAGGCTGGCAAAGCATGATGGAGGTGCCAGTTAAAACACTAAGATATTTTCACACTTTGCACAGAGTGGTGAAGAATGAGTTCATACATGAAGACAGCAGAATGCCACATTCTTCTGGAAAGCATTATAAAAGGGTCCCAAGAATGTGTACTGATCCAAAAACCCTTCTCTGCTCTAGCTTTCCATAGGGAGTAGACTTTTGACATGAGATAGCATATTAACATGTAACATTTTCTGTCTTCCCACCAAACAGTATAATGGCTAAGCTAAAAATTGGAAAGTGTCTCCCTGAATTGCATCTTTTTTGTCTTCCACAAGTCCACGGAGAGGCTTTATAGGAAGGATGGGCAATATGTGGTCTTTAGGCCACACGCATCCCCCAAAGGGCATTTTGCACCTTCGGTTAAACACAGGTCATCTTGGGCAATATGTGGTCTTTAGGCCACACGCAGCCCCCAAAGGGTATTTTGCACCTTTGGTTAAACACAAAAAATGTGTGAGTGAAACAAGTTATCCAAAAATTGTCACTGGCTCAAGGCTGAAGCCTTTGCCCATGGGTGCAACCCATGTTTGGGAGATGAGAACTCAAAAGGTGTGTCTGATCTTTCCAAACTGCTTGCGTATTTCCATGAAAATGCAAATCAGATACCAGTTGTGCCTTCTCATGAAGCAGCATCTGCCATGCTATATACAGCAAACCCTTCTAGCTAATAATATTTATTCCCAGATATGTAGGTGCAGGACTGCAGTTTTAAGTGTTTTCTAATCACAGCCTATCTCCAGGAATATGCATTTTACTGAACAAAATGATTATAGAAAATAAATAAAATATCTGGAGAAAAGACAGACTATGTGTTATGTAAATAATAAAGAAAGGCATCTGTACACTGGAATAAGGACCTAATAGGAATTACTTTTGAGTAACACTACATCAATTACACAAATGCAGTTCTATGAATATTCTTCTCGTGATCATTGAACACTGAAGGCTCTGCCTTGGTATATGTGCAGAGTGCAAAACTTTAAGTGAATAAGTGCAAACCTGGTAGTCTTCATTATTTAACCAGCCTTACTGTACAAATCTTAAAAAAATTAAATCAAGAGATAATAAGGAGGGCTTGAAAAAGCTTATTTGTATCAAGATGGTGGACTATTTGTATTTTATGTTAGATACACAGAGGCTCCTTATCTGGCCCAGGAAACTGAATTTTGACTCCTTGAGACTATTCCTGGCATACACCTGGGAATCACTACGTTGAAAACCGAAGAGTTAGGAGCCAAAATGATGAAGGAAAGGAAGAGGGAAAGCAAGAGAAAAATTGTAATGGAGTTGATGAGAAAGAAAAATTTAAAAAGTTCATGCAGCTGTTTCCTTCTCTCCAAATGTCAAAAGAGAGGTTGGGGAGAGGAATAAAGTAACAGGAAAGATTTCTCTACTTTTTCTCATGAGGTTTTACGGTAGTCATCTATGGCAATTTGTCACCAATATAACTTAAAAATTTGCCCCATCCAACTTAAATATAACTAAATTACATGTTTGGGCTCATTAAGAGAGTCGGTGTGGAACTGATAAAGTACCACACTATATAGAGTGACACATCATGATTCAGGAGACCTGGCTTCAAGTCCCTGCTCAGCTATGAAAACTCACTGGGAGGAACTCAATGATAAAACCACCCAATGGTAAAAACATTCATTGGGTTGGAGAGCACTCCTTAACTACCTTACTTATCTTCAAAAACTTTATTAGGATCACTGTAAGTCAGCACATAATACAAATAGTTTGGGAAACTGTTATCCTTTTTTCTACATACTTTTTACATCTCTGGTTTCATCACCTATCTGACGTTAATTTTGGTAGTGACAACAGAAGCACAGGAAAAGCTGCTCTTTGAGTCCTAGGAGCCTAAAATGTTCACCTTGTTGCTGGCCTTGTGCCCTCCCCCTGGGGTGCTCCTCTTTCCTCTTTAGTTCTTATGAATGGCTACTGGAGCAAACTGCTCAATCCATCTGATAGACCAGTGGTCCCCAACCTTGGGCCTCCAGATGTTCTTGGACTGCAACTCCCAGAAGCCTTCACCTCAACCTCTGCTGGCCAGGATTTCTGGGAGCTGACGTCCAAGAACATCTGGAGGCCCAAGGTTGGGGACGACTATGATAGACCAGGTGCTTCTAAAGAGGGTTTAGGACTGATTTTGGTCTTGAAACTGCTTAAGTCACTTTGAGGGATGATGAACTATGTCACCAGAAGGACAAGAGGAATGCAGCCCTGTTAGTTCTCCTGGACCTCTCGACAGTTTTTGGTACCATAAATGTTTCTGGAAACAAATGATACACTATAATGAGAGATAGAGAGATCTAGGTTGGGCCATTTCAATCCACAATATTAAGCAGTTACCTTGGAGGCAGCTTTTCTCATCAGCTGTACTGCAAGTCTTCTGTTCTTTTTCACACCTTGGCCCTGAGTAACGAGAAAGTAAACGTCCAAGAACATCACTGACATAGACATGCACTGACATAGACATAGGTTTTTGTGTGTGTGTGTGTGTGTTTAGATCTCTGACAGCTGGATTTGTACATAATGTATTTGTTTTTGAACTTATTGCCAGTTCCACCTGGGGGAGGTGCTGGACAAGACACTCTCATTTCACCTCCCCTCTCTGTGTGGACCCTCCTTTTCCTTCACGGAGCTGCTATTCTTGCCCATGTACAGTACATAGCGGTTTCTCTGGGCCTGATCCATGCCTCCTCACAGAGGCCTGCAAAGAGCTGTTGTTCCTTCTCTTTGATCTCCTCATTGTTCCTTCCATTGGAGAGGGCAAGCAAACAGGCAGCAAGAGTGAGGAATAGGAGGACCAAGGGGCTCCAGGGACTGGCATGGATCTTGGGTGGTGCCCAGTGAGGTCTATCATGGACACCAGGCCTCTTCAGACTGTATCATTTCCTTTCTGGTTTTATGGTGTGATTTTATAGGCATAATTATGGTATGTTACCTAAACCTCTGTCTTCTTCTTTGTTTTGGCAAGTCAGAATATAAAAAGATGTATAAGCATCTTTTTTTTTACTTTGAACTTAGTATTCAACACAGAGGGTGTTCATGGAAACCACTCAGAAAAACTACTGCTTTGTCATATATTCCAGACAAATGCTAAACTGCTACTAAACATATGCAAAGTATGTTGTGGAGTATATGTCTTTGTTCACAACCCTTTTCATTTCTGCTGTGATTGTTATTGCTAGCGAAATAGCTCAGCCAGATGCAATATCTGGAGCCAGGTGGTTTGGAATTAAATTTCCCACTCTGCCTTGCAGCAAAAAAGGCTTGAACAACCAATAACATTCCAGAGTGCTCTGAGAAGAAGGGAATAGTGATCCATTTTTGAGTACTCCTTATTTAGAAAATCTTGAAAAAGATTGTGGTAATTTGGGATCTATTTGATTGCACATAATGAAGTGCAGATATGCTGGCTACAGCTTAGAAACGAATGTCAGTAGCTAACTCCAGTGATGACAAGATGGCTAAGAAAAGATTTTGAACCTTTATGATAAGGGTTTTACTATGGTCAAAATAATCAGAAGAAATGGATCAAGGGCCTTGATTGAACTGGGAATAAAACTGTTAAATATTTTGGTTATATAGAGGAGATGCAGGTATATATTTTTCAATAATGCAATACACAGGAGAATATTCTATTGCCTTAGCACCTTATTTCAGCATGAGTGAAACAAGTGAATAATAATATATGGAGAAATGAAACAGAAGAGAAAGATAATACAGAATAAAAATACACCAAGAAACATTTTGTAAATGTTGTGCTGGTGCAAGAGCCCTTGCATGACGGAATTTTCCTCTCCTCTCCTCTCCTGTCCCGCTTGGAACCCTCAGAGCTGCTCAAACTCCACCTCTGTAGGAGGTTTCCAGTGGGGAATAACTGCACAGCTTTTCTGCTAAAATTCTTGCTAAACCTGAAGAACTACCATCAGAAATATGTTTCAGTAATCCAATTTTAAAAGGAGAATATTCTGCATTTAGAAAAATGTTCTTACCTTGAATAAAACAATGGAATAATCATATATGGATATTAGGTCTTCAGTTTCCAAAGCACCCTTTGCATACCATTCAACAGCTGCTTTGGGATTTTTCTGTACTCCTTGCTGGCCCCAGAAAAGCATCTGTCCTAGACGTTGCTAAACCAAATCAAACTAAATGTAAAGATCAGGAACAGACACTCCCTCACACATTCACATTTTTAATGGGGCAACAGGAGATGCTGTAAAGAACTTAGAAAGACAACCAGGTATCCATGTTAGAGATGGGCACAATTTTAAAAATTGGCACTGTCAGCACAGGTGCAGAGTACCAGCCAGCCCATCCTCCCTTTTCACTTTCTGTATGTAAGCAGGGATACAGCCAGAGAGGGGAGGTTCCAGCTGAAGTAAAGGCTCTATACATGAGCAATAGCACTGGAAATTCTGGGTACTTGTTCACACATCGAGTAGGAATGGGCCAAATGGAAAACTCTTAATTCTCAAGATTCTAAGATGTTTATTTTGCATCTTTCAAGCCAGATTATGTCCTTCCGCATTTGTTCAAAAACAAATGCTCTTTATTTTGTATTAGAGAAAGATTAATTCCTAAAAGAAAATTTTTCTACATGCTCTGAGATGATATTCTTATGTATAAAACCTGATTTGGGGGGAATCACAAAGCTCAGTCTCTACTGGCCAGTGGTAATGATACAATCCAGGGATTCCACAGAAAGAAGGACTGGCTTGGGTGGAGAGGTGCCATTAATTAGCTTTCATATATTTTTATCCCTTCTACTGCTTTAAAAAAGGTTAAAATTCTTGTGCTTGTTGCAGGTTTTTTGGGCTGTTTGGCCATGTTCTGAAGGTTTTTCTTCCTAACATTTTGCCAGTCTCTGTGGCCGGCATCTTCAGAGGACAGGAGTTAGAACTCTGTCTGTGTTCTGTTGTAGTGTGTGGAATAGTTGAGTATTCGTAGCTGTGGGGTGAGTTTAAACCTGCAGAACATGGCCAAACAGCCTGAAAATCCTACAACAACCATTGGATCCTGGCCATGAATGCCTTCGAGAATGTGTAACTTTCTTATTTGCTTTTATTGGAGGGAGCAGTTTGATGTAATTTTAGGTTTAAATTGTGTTTAAAAAAACAATTAAGTATGATTAACTATCTGCTCTGCAGAATTTAGTTATGCTAATTTCTTTCACATGAATGACAAGAACAGGAATTCAGTTAATTAGGCAAAGGCAGAGACAGATGTTCCTGCAGAAGAGCAGAAACACACCTTCTACAGACTCGTCCCAACTTGCACAGACAAAGTGCTGAGGAAAGGAGGGGAGCTCGCTGCTCTTCTCCATCCAAACTGATGATGCTGAATTAAGTGATTGAATAGAGCAAGCACCATCTTTCCTTCATGTGAAACTGAGTGATGATCTACACCAGTGGTCCTCAACCTTGGGCCTCCAGATGTTCTTGGACTACAACTCCCAGAAGTCTTCACCACCACCTCTGCTGGCCAGGATTTCTGGGAGCTGAAGTCCAAGAACATCTGGAGACCCAAGGTTGGGGACCACTGATCTACACTACTGATTAACCCCATGGCATTCATAGGGGTTTATTGCTGCAATTTGAAAGTCATGTGTAAAACATACTACCTGTGCAGCAGCATCTCCTCTTGCTGCTTCATGTTTGAGCCACATGAAGAGGTCACCATTTTCTTTGGTTTGAGTTTTCAATAATTCATCATCCTGAAGCCTTATTGCTTCTACAAATGCCTACAACCAATGGGGGGAAAATTTCATTAATAGCATTGAAAACACTGGCCATTTTCAAGTGTTCTTCTGCACTCTTCTTATGACTCAAGAGTTCTGACGGAGTTGCCTTTCAGTCAGTGCTACTGCCAGATGTTACAGCAACAGGTTGGTTCCATAAAAGCCCCAAATTACACTGCTGATATTTCATATTCAAGGATCACTGACAGCAGAGGCGAGGCAGACTTCTATCCGTCTGACATGTGGAAGCTGCTGCCAGCTGAAGTAAACAATGCTGGACTAAATGGAAGAACAGGGCAAGGCAGCTTTCCGTGTTCCAACTGAAGTTGATATTAGGATTATCGTTTCAAATTTTGATCAGACACAGGAGATTCAAAGCAAGGTGCAAAGCAGTTCTGCAGGAAGAAAATTCTCCAGTGCTATTTCACTCCATCAAAGGATTTCCAGTTTTAGAAAGGCAGAGCATGGAGGTGCTATGTTTTTGGATTACATCTCCCAGAATCCCTCAGCCATCAAAACCAGTGGCTGAGTTCATGAGAAAAACAGTACACAGAGAATGCATATAATATAAATCAAAACGGGAAACTAGAATGGATATCACATTGATCAAATCCAAAATGCAACTTATAATTTTTGCATGATTGTTTCTAGAAGAACAAGTACGCATGCACACAGCTCTTGGCATACCGCAATATTAATACATTAAGAGTTTTCAGTGGCTTAAGTTTATTCCAGTTAAAATCTGCAAAATATTAAGAAAAATGTATGGTATTGAATTGCTTTATTATACAACATTTGCCAATGTTCAAATTAAAAGATTCTATATACCAGTTTGAATTTGTCTGGATACAAAGTTTTCAAATTCTGTAAATTAACTTTTAAAACTTTTTTCTAAAATGATATATTTCAATCATTTTTTTACTATGGAAACATTTTTCAGATATTTAAACTGAATGCAACATTACATACTCCCCCCAAAACAACAACAACAACAACAAAAAGAATGGAAATGTAATCCCATAAGATATTTTACCTGGTCTTCATCAATCGTATGCTGATCACGTGGTGTCTTGACAGCAACATCACTATAGTAAGCATATGATAGCTCCAGATCTTGGGGATAGTTATGAATGCCTTGGTAGTGCTTATACCCAAGGCTCATCAAGGCCAACCTATCACCGCCCTGAGCTGCAACCAAACTATACAGCAGACCCTGGTAACAATTAATAGACAGGGGTGTAAGTTTCGTAACAGCCAATGAAATCTTGAATGCAAAAAAACCCAACAACAACAACAGAAATGTAATCATCAGCATATTGTACATCTAAATGAGCTAAACAGTAAATACACAATCATGAGCTTTTAATTTTGTGTGTGTGGCTGTTACTCTGTTGAAGGAATAAGGCTGGAAACAACCGGCAAACATACGAAACCTTGTTGATCAGAGGCGAAGGAGTGAGTACACTCAGAACACAATCAGTTATCCCACTTTCAGACGACATACAGGTATGAAAAACAGTTTGTCTCCTGCCGAAGACGTCTGATGAGCCGGCAAATACTATCTACATTCTTTTTCAAGTAATCCTGGAGCAAAAGAGAAACATCCAAATTCATACCTGAGCTGGGTCTGTAGACATACTCAGGCCTATTTCAAAGATAACACCAAGAACATAGGAAGCTCTGTGATATCCACAACAGCTGGAATCCATCAAGGCCAAGACAGAAGAGTTTATGTAATGTAGCCCTTCAGGCCTGGATAGATTTTGAGCAACTATCTCAAATAACCAGCGCCCAGTTTCTAACACTGAGTCCTTTTGGCTTTCTCTTGCAACAGCTGTAAGAAAGAATACATAATTAAACTATGGAGCCTTAAAAACAGTTATATTCCAATTAGATAGCTTCTTCATGAAGTTCTTAAAACCCAGGACAACCAGTGGTTCTCATTTCATTCAGGTTGACCAGTGGCTCTCAACTTCGGGTAACCCAGTTTTTCATGGACTGCAACTCAAAGAAGCCTTCACCACTAGCTGTGCTGCCCGGGGTTTCTGAGAGTTGCAGTCCAAGAACACTTGCATTATCTGAGGTTAGGAACCACTGAGGGAGACCCTAAGACCACCATGCAAATGACAGAGGAAGAGGTTGAACAGCTGGCAATGTTTAAATAAAACAGTAGGCACTGTTAACAGAAAGAAAAACTAAAATGTCCAGTTTAAAATGTAAGAAGAGCTTTTTCTGGACAGACCAAAATCCTTTCTTGCCAAGCAGTCCATTCACACAGTGGCCAACTCAATGCCTATGGGAAGCCAGAAGCTCCCACCCTCCCATCTGTGTGTCCCAGCAACTAGTATTTAGCAACCTCTGACAGGGACGCAACATGTACTCATGATGACTGATAGCCATGGATAGTCTTATACCATTAAGAATTTATTTACTCTGCCTTTACAGCCATCAGAATTGGCAATGTGCATCTTGCGATAGAAAATTCCCCTGTTAATGGGATTTGTAAAGAAGTACGTTACCTTCTGGCAAATGAAAATCTCTCTCTTGCAACTGTTTGAACAGGCTGTGGTATTTTTCCCTTAGCTCTCTTTCCCAGTCATTGGCAGAACACTTGAGGTTTCCTCTGTATTTGCTGTCCATTTCCAAATAATAGTTCTCATGAATACCTGAAGAAAATGAATCTGAATCATTCTAGCTGCATTTCTGACACTCATATAGAGAAAGGTTCTGTTTCTCTTTATTAAAATGTTAATGTCACCCAGCCTGGATTGATTTAAGGGTGTCTGAGCGTACAGCACATGCAATAGTAACACTGCAGGATAAATGCAGTTTGACTCTCAGAATAAACGAAAGCAGAACCATCCTGGATTAAATTATTGCTACTCCTTGCTGAATATGCTAAGGAATACAGATATGAACTAATTTTCAAATGATTCTCTTTTTCTGCAGATGGGTAGTTCTGCAGGTGAGTCTATTTTTGTATTATTTATTATGTTTCTAGTTCAAACTTCTCCCCCAAAAATAACTGAAAATGGCTAGCAGTAATAGAATTCAAATGAAATATAATACAATTAAACACTAAAAACACGGGGCATTGAGACGAGGAGATGGAAAATGGAAATTATATTCAAAGACTATAGCTGAGGCCCAAATCCTAATGATGCTGTATTTTTACTACTGCATGATGCACCACAACTTTCAGAGGTGGTAATCAGGAAAAGAGGTGGGGGGGCGGATACCTGCCCCCACCAGTGCCACTTCCTCTACCCAAACTGCCTTTCCACTGAACTGCTTTGAAATTAATGGCGCACACAAATGACAGTGGATCCTTTTCCCCATTACGCTTGTTTAGCCCTCCCTACTTACACTTTCCCTCTTTCTCATCTTGTTTCAGAGTGAATCCTTTGTGGAGTGATATGCTCTGGATGTCTGTACATTTTTTATGGTAGAGATCAATTCTTTCCAAAATGTCTTTGTTCAGGAAAGGGTGAGAAATCTGGAAGAAATTTAAGGTCTGGTAGTATAGGAATACAGGCAAGCAGGATAGGAACTGTGGGTATTTTCTAGAGAGCACTTTGCACACACTCATATGATTAAAACATAGGTGAACATTTTATTTTCCTCAAAGTAAATAATTTCACATAATAAAATGACCACCACCATTTGGGGGCATTTGGAAAAAATTAACTTTTTATGTTGACAACTTAGAAACACATACACACACACACACATACCCATATGTGTACATCTGTGCATATGGCGTGTGAGTTGAGTCACCAAATGACTTACTACACTAAGGAACAGGATTTGACCAGGATATGTAAAAACAGTATCTTAATATTTAAGAAGTAAATATATGGAAATACGTGTAAAATATGTTTTTAATATATGTATTTAATACATTTGGAACTGATAAATAAATAAAATCTCATCATATGAGACCTTCGGGTAGTGTGGGCGGTATATAAGTTAAATAAATAAATAAATAAATAAATAAATAAATAAATAAATAAATAAATAAATAAATAAATAAAATATGCAAATAAAAAGTAACACTGATAAAAAGACTTACTACTGCCATACTAAATTTCTTCACTAGATTTAGTGGTCTGCTGCCAATGTTATTTGTTTGTTTGTTTGTTTGTTTTAGGGCATACTTTTAAAAGCCATGTTGTGTTTTTTATACTCACCATTTCGCTTTCCAAGCTCTTAAGACGATAGTATTTTATTGATCCAAAATATCCTTCAATACCAGATGAATATCCACTGCCTCCAAAAACCAAATAACCAGAAGTATCATCAAAATAGATATCCTCGCTAAATCTAGAAAAGTAGATAATGTGATGCTTTGAAAATTGGTATCCACTCTTCCATATTATTCTTATACAGTGACAGTTATATAGTACAAATATATTGGCTATAATCATATTGTAGAGTTATACAGGTGGTGTAACTTTTAAAGGTGCATTGTCTTGTGTTAAGAAATCTCCACAGGGATTCTCTATTGCATATTGAATTGCACAACTTGGTGTGCAACAAACAGATAATGCTTATAGAGTTGTTTTTTTTTAAATTTACACCATCTAAAAGTTACAGCATCTGTGTAACTGCTCAACAGGATTTTAGCCATTGATTTTCAGTAATAGCCCCAGTCTTCTCAACTTATCAGGGCTCTAGCTTGCAGTGTGCTGACCACGGAGGCAGCAGCTAGTTCTTGCCAAGCTGTCTTCTTCTGCTAAGCAATCTCAATAGCCTCTGTGGGCTTTTCTGAGCCTGTGCATCAGCTAACCAATTAGTTGGGTGAGCAGTGCTGCAGGAGATGGACCAAAGGGAGAAGGTATTCACTCTGATTAGTCTGCATAAAATAAATTGGCTCACCTGAGGTTTCATGGCTCAGCTGTCCTTAAGACTTCATCCACCCACCCACCCTTCCCTAAGACCAGGTGGTATTTATGGACTTGGCTGCAGGGAAGTGAATTGGGAGATACAAGGAAAGAAGGAGGGAACATTTGGAGTATACTTCTGTGCATTCTGCATAACTCTTAATTCGGTTGGGTATGGTAGCTGTGCACATAGAACCAGATCCTGTGTGGAAAGGCAAGGGGCAGGAACGCCCCTATCTCACATTGAAAATCCTCTTGAAGAATTGTGTGGTAAGGATAGCCAAGAATACACCCAACTCAGGGATAGGACTCTCAATTTTCATATCCAATGGCAGAGGATTCACTCAGTAGTTGTGCGCTCAAGTGTGCCTGTAATTCTGTCATTCCATCAACTGCCAGTACTGGTCTGGGGGCTGCAAGTGAGCCTCCCAATGTTCCAGTCCAGAACCTTATATTGCACCAGTGTTATTTCTGACATAACCAATAAAGCTGTGGCCATCACTTCAACTGCTTTACAACAAAACATTGACATGTGTGTCATTTGTTTAGGTGGGTGGCCACATGTCCAAGGATGCAAACTGGCTCCACAACTGCAACAAAGGAAAGAATGAAAAGGCATGCAATAGACTTGAAGTTGCATGATACGATGGATCAGGTGGAACTATTACAACCAGAGGAGTAGTTTGAAAGTTAGTCTTACATAAATATTTGATGCTGGCGATGTTTCAGATTCTTTCCAACACAGGTGATTTCTATCTAAAACCAAAATGATCAAATATTAGTTCTGAAAGCTGGCATGCTGTAATCTGATTGAAAATATAATGTTTGTCCAGTCTTGGCTTGCATATTGTTGCCAGAATATTCTGCTGACCTTTAGTGTGAAACCACAAGAATTCACTAAATTTATACATAGATGATATGTAGATAATCACTTGACAGCTCCACATATTTATCCTGAATGTACTTCCTCTTTCTAAATGTTTTAAGCAACTATTCAAATGACTTCTACTTGGATCCAGAGGAAAGTGATCATACGCCTCCCCCTCTTGCAAACATAAGTAAATAAAAGAATAGAAATGTTGTGTGTTCATTTCAACGTGCAGCCTTTCTGACCCTTCTAGTGAAGTTTATCTGCCATTATCTGAGGAGAAATTGCACTACAACTCCCTGAATTCCCTAGCCAGCATGACTCCTGTTCCAAATGGCAGACACTCCAGAGGACATGCACACATACACACAAATTCACTAGAACAACAATAACAAGAACAACAATAGTAATAATAATAAATGGTAATATCAGGAAGAACACAAGGCAGAGTGTGTAGGCTTAATGCCCTCTCCCAGTCCTTCTCATTCCCCCAAAGAAGGCTGGAATGAAATACCACACACTCCTCAGTTGTTAAAAATATTTAAACAGAGTAGCAGCACCCAATCTCAAGTCCTCTAGCTGTTTTCGATTTCAGTTTCCATCCTCACCAGTGGTTAAGGCCAATATTCAGGAATCATGGGACTTGCAGCCGAGAACAACAGAGTGGAGGCACCAAGTTGTGGAAGGCTGAAACAGAGACATTCTTGTCCTGTGCATGGGCAAATGGCATTAGGCATATTGTTGTTGTTAAGTGCTGTGAAGTCGCCTCTGACTCATGGCAACCTTGTGAATAAGCGATCTCCAAAATGTCCTGTCCTCAACAGTCCTGCTCAGCTCCTGCAAAATCAAGCCTGTGGCTTCCTTTAGGGAACTAATCCATCTCATACTTGGTCTTCCTTTTTTTTTCCTGCTGCCCCCAGTCTTTCCAGCATGCAAGTGGGGTTAGGCATGGAGTCGCGGAAATACGAACTTATGCAAGCAATGATCTCCTGATGACAGGAACACCAAGGGAGGCCATACACTACAGGGATGGCAGGTCAGTTATGTTTAATCTACCTACATGTACAATTTTGTATTTATACAGTTTAGACAGCAATGAGTGACTAGCCAAAGGTGGGTCAGCACAAAATTCTTAAAGGCATATCAGTAGCAATAACTTGCTTTACAGCATATCCAGAGTGCTTCTACCCTCACCATTGAGCAGCTCGCTTTCTGCATCTCTAATGCAAAATTGTCAGAATCTTTAGCAATCTTCAAATCTCAACAGTCTTTGGGGGAGCCATGACATTTCTACTGTTGTAAAACCAAGCTTGTTGTTGTATTGTTACATGCCCCCTGGTATAGGTAGCTAGGTAAAGATAGTTGGTTTGTCCAAATATGTTTTACAGCAACAATGTAACAATAATTTAAAACACTTATGTATAAAATATTCTTCTTCTGCTCTCAAGAAAGGCCTGACAGCCACCTCAGTGAACCCACCTATACTGCCTCCAAGGCAGCAAAAAGACCTTGGCCAAAATCCTGTTGCTTAGTGCAATGAAATGCACTAGAGTAGGCCCACTGAATCAATGGGGATTTGATGAGTCAACTCCTTTGTAAGTTTCATTGATTCAAATGGGCCTACTCCAACTGCAACTTAGTCACAGTTGGTACTTACAAATAGAATTTGGGTTTAGTCACAGTTGGTACTTACAAATAGAACTTGGGTGTTGACTCATCAAATTCCCACTGATTCAATGGGTCTACTCTAGGCCAATTTACTACAGTGAGCAACATATTTATGACCAATAGATCACTAGGCCAATTTACTACAGTGAGCAACATATTTATGACATATTTATGTGATATTAACAGGAACCCAAGGCTTAAAAATCTTAATATAAATATAAAAGCAAATTCAGTAGAAAATTATAGCAACGTCTAAGTGTGAGGGGATTGCCATGACTGACACCCTGAGCATGCCATCCAATCTCACCCAATGCCTTCTGGGGGACTGCTGAACATAGAAACTACCAGACGTCAGGTGTGGGCTGGGATTGCTGAGAAGAAAAGGCAGCTGCAGGGCATAAGGGCCAGCACCTTGTCAGGCAGAGCGGGGTGGGCTGTGTGAGAAGGTGGGAGCTTTAAAGGAGGTAGGGAGAAGGAGAAGGACAGGAGCCTGAAGGGATGGAGGCAGGGGACTCAGGCAAAGAGGAGGAATAGTGGGTGGATGCAGGAGAAACGTTGGTGTCCACCTACTGGATGGAAGACCTATCCAAGTATGTCTTCAGAAAGGACCTTTTGATTGGGATCCTACTGGAGCTGTGGGTTCCTAAGGAGACAGTGAGGGCCTGCTCTACCCCCAAACACTGAAGACACTGAAGACCTTGGTTAAGGTGTCCAGACCATCAGCCAGTTTCTCTATCAACACCTCCACCTGTTAAGATTCTGCATCCCACACAGAAAAGGACACTGGAGACACTAGTGTCAAAGGTTGACACCCATCTGAGAGTACCAGGGGGCACAGACTGGGATAAGGTCTGTAGGCCACTCCATGTTTCACGTTCTGTACATCCCCAGTGAAGACAACTGGAGACCAGGGAAAGACTGTTCATTAGGGAGGCAGTGTCAAGAACTTGGCTCTTTGACAACAGGATTCATGGGGAGGGGGTTGCTGGTGAAGGAACCAGACCTGTAATCCTTCCCCCCTCCTAATAAAGTAATGTGCTCTGTATGGAGGACTTGGAACAGCGTCTAATGTGGCTGAGAAGGCCAATTCGAGAGTGATAATTCCTTTCACACTGAAGACAAATACAATCTGTCCCCTGTCCAGCTCCCTGATTTGACTGCTTTCATGACTGCCTTGGCCTGATGGACAAGGGTCTCTTCAAATTGGGAGAGGCCGTGATGCAACGCCTGCCTCCAGGCTGAACGCTCAGGTGTCAAGGTTTCCCATCTGTTGAGGTCCATTCCTAAGGCCTTCAGATCCCACTTGTAGATATCCTTGCATCGCAGCTGTGGTCTCCCTCTGGGGCGATTTCCCTGCACTAATTCTCCATACAGATCTTTTGGAATCCGACCATCAGCCATTCTCACAGCATGCCCATAGAGCCATGATGATTAAAAAGATGTCAAAGTACTATAAGTAAATAATATAGATACACATGTTAGTACAACGTACCATAAATACACATCTGACTTATGGGGACCTTAATACAGTTTTCAAGGTATGTATAATATTTCAGATGTAATTTTAGCAGCGCTGCCACACACTCCCCTCCAGTGAGTTTCCATAGCCAAGAGGGGTTTTGAACTCAAATCTCCTGAGACTTAGTCCAACACTCCATACACTATACCACACTGGCTCTCATATATACTGGTATTTTGCTTCAGATCACCAGAATTGTTTATCCCAGAGTCCAGCCTGTGAGAAGAAAAATATGTTTGGACTGAACTCAGTGAAGGCGTTTCCAGATTATCCTCAGAATTATAAAAATGTTGCTTTTAAACTACCACGGTAAGCTCCAACCTCCAAAATACATTGTCCTTGCATTCAGCATCACAGATAATAATACCTGCCCTCCATGAACAGAGAGGTCGAGTCGAAGCCACTGCTTCAGAGGAAGGCTGAAAGTGGTTTTTACAGCAATGTCTTCTCCTTTGATGAGGTGCATCTGAATATGAACATGACCTGAAACGCACATGCCAAAGAAGAACCCAATCAGTGAAGGGAAGGCAACAAATATAGTGAAGACTGATATGGTCTTCCATGCCAAATATTCAGAAACAGGTAGTCATGTGACTCTATTACTTTAAACAGATACACATATTCATCCCGCTTTGAGGGAATTCCTACTAGTGTCTCATCCAAGAGATTGCTACATCCACCCCTGCTTGGCTTCAGTAATGTTACAATAATCAGTTTTCTAAGACAGTTTATGGGATTCCAAATTGACCACATAGAAACTACAGAGGATCAGTTCACAAAAAAACCCAGTTCAACATTACTATCTTGGGAAGCCTGCTTGAGGGCAAACTTGTGATATGCTATCAAGTCGGAACTGACATAGCAACACTAACATTGCTTTCAAGATAAATGGGGTACTTAAGGAGTGGTTTTAGCAGCTCCAGCTGGATGGAGTGAGTTAGGTATCTGGCTGCAGAGACAGAGGTTAGGAGTTCGATTTCTCCCTGTGCATCCAAGAAGGGCCAGCCTGTGTGGCATTGGGCAAGGTGCACAGCCCCAGGATGCCCCCATTAAGAAGGGAATAGTAAACCACTTCTGAGTACTCTTTACCTAGAACATTCTGAGAAGGGTTGACATAAGTCAGAATTGGCTTGATGGCACACAATTATTCAATATTATTTACCAGTTCCACACCCCCAGTGAACTTTCATGGCTGAGCAGAAATTATTCAATATTATTTACCAGTTCCACATCCCCAGTGAACTTTCATGGCTGAGCAGGGATTCAAATCCAGAGCTTCCGAGTCCTGGTCTATCACTGTATCTGCTACAATGCGTTGGGTATCCCAAGAGCACAAAGGAGTCATCATTTCTACAAGGTGTTATTTCTACACAGGTCATCTATCTGACCCAGGCAAATTTTCCCATGAAGACACCACCCTTTTCAGAGCTGCCGCCACTGCAAGATTTTGAGTGGCTGCACAAAAGACCACTCACAAAGATTATTCATACACATTGTGTAGCAATGTGGGGCTGGTGACAAGACCTGCATGTTTCCTTTGGTAGGAACTTGACTTATCTAATGACAGAAAGACACTGATTTCTACCTGGAAAAATGCTTCTCAAAATCTATACTTTTCTCAGTTTTGTATCACCTTCCCCAAAGAATACTGGAAATGCCAGTTTAGTAGCACATCTCTCAGAGAACGGTAGCTTTCCTTTACAGAACTGTGGTTCCCAGGAAAAGCGGCATCAATTAGAGGTCAACACTGTTCACTGCCTGTTGGTGCAAACAGCATTTCTTCCATGTCCTTTCCACCTTCCTGCTCGAAGCCTTCTGCACCTCCTGAAATCCTGCTCCAGAGAGTTGCCCAGCTCTCCAGAACAGGTTTTAAGAGGGCACAGATGTTTAAAACTGCCCCCAGTCTTCATTTTGCTGGTGGAAGGTGTCTTGTCAGCAGAACAAACTCTGGTGGATCTACAGGGAGATAAATCTTGGCTAGAAATTGGACATTTTTGTAACAGTGTCTGGTTTCTTTTTATTCCTTTATTGAAGTGCTCTCACTGAATATTACCTTCAGGACTAAACTGTCTCGGCCTTTTGGCTAAGATCAAGTGTATTCCTTTGATGAAGTGCTCTCACTGAACTATTACCGTCAGGACTAAACTACTTGTGATGCAGTGAAGCCAGAGCTCACAGAACTGATGCTCTGAGGGCTTCTGAATAGTTAGGACTAGGATGGCATCTGTGATCACCCTAAGGCTTCCCTCCTCCTCCCAAATTTAGTTGTAATCCTCGCAACAGCTGGGTAGGAAATATTGTTCCACATTATCTCTGTGGCAAAGCAAAGTATCTGAGGGTGGTCTGCCTTTGAATAGGCATCAATGTCACAAAATAGCTGCTCCTTGAGCATTGCTATGGACTCATCAAAGTGCTCATATTATTGGATTCTCATTATTGATTGGCTATAGGTGCTGTCAAAATGAGCATTTGCACTTCCCAATTTATGACTGCACCACTGTGACCTATCCACTGCAACTCAAGACTTCTTAGTCTATGCAATACAGAAAACTCATGCTCTCCATTCTTGACATCGATTTTGGTAGAAAGAAGAATACGGTTTTCCACTGGCCACACTGGCTTGGGGATTCTGGAAGTTGTTGTCGAAAGCAGTAACTTTTGCACACTGCAGTTAGGATCGCAAAATCAACCCCTTTTGCATATATTTTACTTACCATGCGCCTGCAATCACTGGGCCCATCTCTCTTCTAACCCACTGGTTCTTAACCTTGGGTTTCTCAGGAGTTTTGGACTGCAACTCCCAGAAGCCTTCACCACCAGCTGTCCTGACTGGGGTTTCTGGGAGTTGCAGTTCAAAAGCATCCGAGTAACAAAGGTTAAGAACCACTGTTCTAACCAACCAACCAACCAACTACCCTTGTTGAGAAATTAGAAAGTATTTTGAACAAGTTTGTGAATTCATTCTTATTTTGGAGAAGAGACTGTGAACTGAAATGTTTTGTGTGGGTTTCCCCTGCCCCTTACCTTCATCATTCAGAAATACAGCAGGAGTACCATACATTTCTTCAGAATCTATGAAATACAGGGTTCCACATAAGGACTTCTTGCAGTAACGGAGTAAGTAAAGCCAAACTGAAAAAGTAAAGCTGTACAAACACAAAACTCTGATGAGAGATAGCTTATTGACTACTGTGACAACTTTAACATCAAAGTATGGGGATCAGAATATATTCCAGTGAAAGTTATAAAGGGGCCATTGGACATGTGTTCTGCAGTCTGAGTATCAAGAATCAACCTGACACTGACCCCCTCTTTTCCAAACACTCTTTTAGGAGAAGGTAGTGATGGAATATTTCCCAATGTAGATGGGTTACATGGCAGAGAAGAGATAAACATCTGGACCACAGAACACTCTACTGTAAATCTCTGCTGGAGTTCAAATGCCAAATTCAATGGCTTGGAGCGAAGTTGATATGTTGCTGTTTTTCTTTGTTTTGGTTTTAGAAGTGTTTGCGACTAATTCCATATATCTGTCAATGGCACATTGATAGTTAGTGCACTGAACACTGGTTTTCATAACCATAGTAAGTAACTTTGGTCCTTTACATGTTCTTAGACTACAACTCCCATCAGGCCTAGACAGCATAGCCAATGGTGGTGGTGAGTTGCAATCCAAAGCATCTAGAGAGCCAGAGATGCCCACACCTAGTTTATAACCTCACTGAAACCTTTGCACAGACATCTCACCACCCACAGTAAGGTAAAGGTAAAGGTTCCCCTTGACAATTTTTGTCCAGTCGTGTTCGACTCTAGGGGGCAGTGCTCATCCCCGTTTCCAAGCCATAGAGCCAGCGTTTTGTCCAAAGACAATCTTCCGTGGTCACTCCGGTGGCTTTATAGGGCCGGGAGGGGGTCCACCTATTGATGGGGATGGTGCAATGCAGTCACACAGCCCCCCTCTCCCCTCCTTCCTTCCTTCCCTCTCTCCCCCCCTACCGTTGTGACGTGCCCCAGCCGCATTCCAGCCGCAAGCACCGGCAGTGTAACTTGAAACTTTGGAATTTCTTTTAAAATAAAAAATTGCACTGGGCTGCATTATGAGCCGACTTGGGCCGCATGCGGCCCTCGGGCCGCAGGTAGGACAAGCCTGACCTACACGGTGACATGTTAAAGCAGCGGTCCTCAATCTTTTTGGGACTGCGAACCAGCTGAGCCTCCAAGGAAGGCGGGGGGGGCCCAAAGGTGTGCGTGGATGCACACATGCTCTTGGGTGCGTGCGTGAAGCGATGGGGGAGCGCCCGCCCACTCGTGCCAGCGTGAGTGCTTCCCCACCCCTTCACGCATGTGCAGGGGTGCCTGCACACCCACCCATGTGCCCACCCCTTCGTGCGGGCACTTGGGCAGAGCCTCCAAGGAAGGCAGGGGGGCCCAAAGGTGTGTGTGGATGCACACATGCTCTTGGGTGCATGCGTGAAGCAGTGGGGGAGTGTCCGCCCGCTCGCGCCAGCGTAAGTGCTTCCCCACCCCTTCACGCATGTGCAGGGGCACCTGCACACCCACCCACGTGCCCACCCCTTCGTGTGGGCACTTGGGCGCATGCACAAAGGGATGGGGGAGCGCTGGTGCTGGCACGTGTGCAAAGCAGCTATGGGAAGGGGAGTGCGTACGGGGGGGGAAGAGGTCTGTCTTCACGGCCCAGTCCAGCTCAGGCCATGGACCGGCACCAGGCCGCAGACCGGGGGTTGACGACCTCTGTATTAAAGAATTGCATCATTTTTTTCTCTTTCACTTGGCTGTAACTGTACCTATGCACATACGCATGCACAAAGCTGTCCAGCAGTAACATTGGTGAATCACACAATATAACCAGATGTAAGAACATAATGCACATAAG